ATAAAAATAAATTCATAACTTAGTAATTATAATAGATTAACTTAATTTTATTTAAGTTAATTATAATTAATTATATTATTTAAGATTTTATTATAGTTATATTTTAATAAATAGCTTATATAAGTATTTTAAAAACTAGGTTTAATTTTATAAATACTATAAGTATAAGGTTAGCTTATTATAGCAACTCTAACATTTTAATTAAAATAATATCTGTTAAAAGGAAGTAGTCTCTTAGGCATAAGATTCCTTATAATAATAAGCAATAAGCTTATTAATAGCTTATATAAGCTATTTAGTCTAATATAGAAGGCTTAGTTAGTTCTTTTATAAGCTTTGGAAAAAAGATTATTTTAATAAACTAATTTTTAATAAGGTTAAGCTTATAGAATTAATTAGTTATTAAGGCTATAAGAGAAAGGAATAGGTTAAAATAAGATATATTTAATTTATTAACTAATTAAAAAGCGGGAATTTCTTTATTATATATAAGTAAACTAAATAAAGTAGAGAAAATAAAAGAATAGATTAAAATAGTGTATAAAATAATAGAAATAATAATTTTACTATTTTATATTATTAAAATCTTATTAATAAAATATTAAGTAGTTTATTTTAATACTTGCTTTAATATTAATATAACTTTTCTATTTTATTAATTAAAATTAAAAAAGATTATACAATCTTTAAAGCTAATAGTTTTAAAAAGTCTTTAAATTTAGCTTTAATTAAAAGTTTAGTTAGACTATTAGTAATTATTTTAATAGTCTCTTTTAAAAAGGGAATTAAGGCCTTTAGATTATTTTCTTTTATATAACTATATTTAATTAATATTTATTTTATATAGTTATATAAGATAGAGTTTTTTATTATTAAAATATATAATATTCCAGGCGTTTTTTAATCACAATAACTTAGATTATAGTTAATTTTACTAATAAATTAAAGTAATGTTAAATAATAAAATAAAATATTATAGTTTAGGTATTAAATATTAATAATAAATAATATTATTAATAATTAACTAAATATAAAAAAGAGTTATATAAATTAGTATATATAATAATTAGGTTTATTATAATTTAAATAAATATAAGGTTTTATTTTAATAGGAATAAACTAATAATTTAATAATTATAATAGATTAAGTTAATTTTATGTAAGTTATTAAATATACTCAAGTTAATTGTATTTAAGCTAATTATAATTAGCTATATTATTTAGGGTTTTATTGTAATTATGCTCTAATTCATAGCCTATATAGGTGTTATTAAAAGTAGGTTTGGTTCTATGGATAATATAAGTGTAAGATCGGGTTCTTATAAAATAGTCTATTTATTATTATAATATAAGCCTATAAAAGTGTTATAAACTTTTTAATTTTTAAAAGTAAACTAATAATCTATTATATTTCTTTAATAGCTTTTATAATAATTATATATTTTACTTTTAAAGTAAATAAAACTATTATATTAGTTGCTTATTATTTTAATTAATAGATTCTTTTATTAATTCAATAATATAACTATAAATTTATTTAATAAACGTTTTGTTCCTTATAAAGTTACTATTATACTACTTAATAAAATCTTAATTATTTAAGCGATTATAATTAATAGTTAAATCTTTTATTTAATTAAAGTAATGAAATAGCTTTAAAATAATTAATAAATGCTTTTTATTAGAGTTTTAAAAGATTTTAATAAAGAATTATATTATAAAAGCTATATTTAATTTAATTTCCATCATTAAATAAATAGTTATATTCATTATAGCTTAAAATAGTATAATATTAATTTTATTTAGTTTATAAAAAGACTTAAATAATCTTTAATTAGTTAATAACCTACATTATAAAAGAATATAACTTACCTTTTAATTAATATAATAACTTAACCTTACATTTATATTATCCATAAATGTATACCCACTTTTAATAATACCTGTATAAGCTATTAATAAAAACATAATTATAGTAAAACCTTAAATAATATAACTAATTATAATTAATATATATAAAAGAATATAAGCTAATATATATAATAATTAAGTTTATTATTATTATTAAATTATTAGTTTATTTTTATTAAAATAAAATCTTATATTTATTTAAATTATAATAAACTTAATTATTATATATATTAGTTTATATTTTCTTATATATATTTAAGAAATTATTAACTTATAATTATTTATTATTAATAATTAAATACTTAAACTATAATATATTAAGCCTATTTTTTTAACCTTACCTTAATTTACAACTAATATTAAATACAATCTAGGTTATTGTAATTAGGAAATGCCTGGAATGTTACAGTTAATTAAGCTAAAGAATTCTATAGTTCTTCTTATATAGTGCTTTTAAAGTAGTTTAAATTATTTTTCTTTACTTTCTTAGAATTTAAAACTTTAAGCATAAGAATATTAGGCTTTTATTTTTAATAATATAGATTTTATTTATAGTCTTTGTTAATTTAATTATTTTAGCTAAGTTTTGTTTTATAATTAAATAATTATTAATATAAGTTATTATAGAAATAGTCTTTATTTTATTATATAAGGTAATTGAATTAAAAGTTAAAGGTTTAAAGCCTAGCTATTAGCTTAAGCTAATTAAAGCTTATAGTTACTCTTTAGTCTATTATTTTACCCTATATAGAACTTTTAATGCTAAATAATTTAATTAATCGTTTTATATAGTTTAATTTACTTAATATAATCTTAGTCTTTATATTAGTTTTAATAATATATTTTTAAAAATATTTTAAAAGTTTTAAAGAAATAATGCTTTTTAATACTTTATTTATAAGAAAACCTTTATAAAATTAATTTATTTAATCTTTGAGTTATAAAGGACTATCAGGGCTATTATTAATTATTAAATAGTAAAAACTATAATAAATTAAGTTAAATTTATTTAAATTATTATATATAGTTAACCTTATTGTATTTAAGCTATTAAATATACTTAAGTTAATTTTATTTAAGTTAATTATAATTAATTATATTATTTAGGATTTTAGTATAATTATATTTTAATAAATAGCTTATATAAGTGTTATTTAAAAGTAAGCCCAGCTCCATGAATAACATAAGAAACAAGTTAGGTTATTATATTTTAACTATTAACTTTGTTTAAAACTTAAAAGTTTTATTATTTTAATTCTTTTTAGTTTTTAGAATTAATTAAATAATAATAAGTTCTTTATTTTTAAATAAATCTTATTTATTTAAAAAAGTAAATATTTATTATTTAATATATTACTTAAATTATTAGTATATAGCGTTTAGTTATTTTTTATATAAGGACTTGTTAAGGTTGAGTTATAAGTATTAGGCTTATCTTGTATAAAGAAATTCTTAGTTTTAATAGCCTTAATAAATTAAAGTAAATTAGCCTTAATAATATTTGAATCTATAAGATTAAATATTATAAGATTTTATAAAATACTTATATTTTTATTTAAAAGCAAAAAGCTAATATTAGTTTCTAAGGTATTTAATATAAAAGGTAAGTTTAAAATATGTTAATTCTTTAGCCTTTAAATTACTTTTCTTTCATATTAAGCTACATAGTAAAAATCCTTTTTAATAGTATTAAAGTAAAGAATACTCTAAATTATCTTTGCTATGTTTTTAAGAAGCTAAAACTAATATAATCTAGTTTTTAAGACTATAAATAAGCTAGTTTTAATACTTTATTTTTGTTTTTAAGCTTTTTAATTATTAAAAAGTCAAAGGTCTTTAAAACCTTTTTATTTAAAAGCTTTAGGTTTTTTAAAATTAGCCTTTTCTTAATTAAAGCTATTTTAAATTTTATAACTAAAGATTTCCTAATATCTTTTAACCTTTAATTAATTAAAAACTAACATCTTAACCTTTATAAAGCTATAAGATATACAGACTAGTTTTAAAAAAGTCTTTTCTTTTATAGTTTAAAAGATAGTATATTTTTAAAAGTTAAATAATACAATTATATTATTTTTATTAATATATAATATATTATAGCTAATATACATTTTTATTTTATAATACTTAAATTAGTTATATAACTTAATATTAAATTTAAAATAATATAAAATGTCTTAAAGTTTTATTTTTATTTTTTATATGTTTTTAAATAACATTTACTTTTTTTTAAAAAAGGAAAATAAACTAAGTAAAGCTTTTAAATTAAAGATTTCTTTATTAGCCTTATAATTAATTTAATAACCTAATTATAACGTTCTAGGCATTTCTTAACACAGATAACTTGAATTATAGTTAATGTTAGTAGAAAATAAAAGTAAGATTAAGTAATAAATTAAATATATTATAATTTAAGGATTGGATTATTTATAATAAATAAGTACATTAATACTTATTTAAATATATAAATTAAATATAAGTTAATATATATAATAATTAAATTTATTATAATTTAAATAATATTATTATAGGAAGCAAACAATAGCAGCGCGAAGCTAAAAGTAAGTCTATATTAAACTTATTAATAGGTAATATATTAAAAGAAATAATAGTATAAATATAAGGCTCCTATAACTAATCACGGTTAAAAGGGTTTTATAGTCCAGGGGCCTTATTGATTAGGAATACTAATAATACTAAAAACTTAATAAGTTTTTCCTAAAATAAGACTAATAAACTATAAAATAGCCAGTTAATAATAGTAGGAGCTTATACTAATTTAAATATAATAATATAATATATATAATATAATAGAGCTTTTTCTTCTAGTATATGGGTTTTGTTTTTTGTTTTTTTATAATAGTAAAAGAACTAAGGCCCTATTAAATAGGATAAGTGAATTAGTATAATAATAATAATAACAATAATAATATAATTTAAATAAATATAAGATTTTATTTTAATAAAAATAAATTAATAATTTAATAATTATAATAAATTTAATTAATTTTATTTAAGTTATTAAATATATTTAAATTAATTTTATTTGTATTAATTATAATTAGTTATATTATATAAGCTTTTACTAGGAGGGAGTGGCGCAGTGGTAATAGCGCTTGGTGACCTATCTCGAAAGGTCGTGGGTTCGAATCCTGCCTCCCTCACACTAAGGATAAGTTTTGCTTTGGCTGTGGCAAATTAGCTTATCCTTAGATTACCCGAAGCCTGATTGTTAGAAAGGCAGCACTAGAAGCAGGATTGGTTCCCCTGCTTCTTCACCAATAGCAGAGCTTATACGAGGTAGGCTCTGCATGGAAAAACAATATCCCGCAGTACTAACAAGGATCCTTGCAGAAGGGCTATGCCTAAGAAAGGGCTATGCCTGGTAAGGAATTTGAAGGTCAAGGGAAAAACTAGTTGTGTGTGCCCTTAGGGGCCAGGGCAAAGGGGTATACATAAAGCGTGGGAATAGGAGTAAGGAAGCTGTATATTTAGAAAAAACACCATTACTTGTACTGCCAGCTTGAAGGCTGGCCAGCTAGCTGCTATATTAGTACTCTTAGAGTCTAGATAGTTAGGTAGCCGCTTCATAGGCCTCCGGCCTCCATAAGCGTAATGAATGAAAAAAAAAAAAAAAAGCTTTTACTATAATTATATTCTAATTATTAATTTATATAAGTATTATTAAAAGTAAGTCTAGTTCTATAAGTAACTTAAGTATAAGATTAAGTTATTATACTAATATAATTAATTTTTTATTTTTTTAAAATATTAACTATATAAAATTAAAAATTAATTTAATATTTTAATATTTATTTTAATTTTTATTATTAATAGTTTAATTAATAAATTATTAAAATATAATAACCTAACTCTACGTCTAGGTTATACACTAAAAAAAGACTTACTTTTAGGAACACTTATGCTTATTATAGTCTAGTATAACTATAACAGAACCTTAGATAAGTTAACTAATTATATTACTAATCTAGCTTACCTTTAAAGGATTAGTTTACTAGGTAAACGTAAAATCATTAAATAAGCAAGGAATTACTAGATAAACGTAAAGCTATTAAGTAATTATGATAATTATTAAATAATTAATTTATTTTTATTAGAATAAACCTTATATTTATTTATATTATAATAAATCTAATTATTATATATATTAGCTTATATAACTTTTTTATATATTTAATTAATTATTAATATAATTATTTATTATTAATAATCTAATACTTAAACTGTAATATATTAAACCTATTATTTAACCTTGCTTTAATCTATTACTAATATTAACCATGATCTAGGTTATCCTTGTTAGGAAACGCCCGGAATGTTATAGTTATATTAATCAAGTATAATAAATTTAAATAAAATCTAGTTAAATAGGCTAAATAGCTTAAATAAAATTATAATGATTTAATTATAGATTTATCTTATATACTAAAAAATATCTTATTTTTCATAAGATTTATACTTATTATTATTTAATATAATTATAATAAAGCTTTAATAAAGTTAATTAATTAAGTATATTAATCTAGCTTACTTTAAAAGATTAATTTATAAATAAGTAAACCTACAATTATTAAATAATTAATTTACTTTTATTAAAATAAACCTTATACTTATTTAAATTATAATAGATTTAATTATAATATATATACTTTTATATATATTTAAATAACTATTAAGAATATTATCTATAATTAAGATTTATAACTTATAAAGTGTTAGCTTATAATATTTTAATAAAGCTTTAAATATTCTAATTAAATATAATAAACTTAAGAATATAAAAAAGGTTTAACTTATAAAAACATAATATTATAATTTATTAAAATCTTTATTATTATATATTTTATTTTTAAGATCTTTTAACTTCTAGTTAATAAAATATTATAATTATTAATAGCCTTGAAAATTATTAACTATCCTATAGTTTATTAATATAATACTAAACCCTTATATAACTTAATTATTAACAGGTCTGTTAATAAAAGAGATAGTAAGGTTAAGGATAGTAAGATAAGAAAATATTATATAATTTAAATACTATAGTTATTATATTAAAATATTAAATAGCTTAGAAAATGAATTAAAACATAGTATTATATACTATAAAAGAACTATTTATATTAATTATATAATGTATTAAGTTTATTTAAATTACAATAGAAGAATATGTTCTATTTAACTGGAGACTTACCTTTTCTACTCTACTAATATAATTTTCATAGAGCGCGTTGATTTTAAATCCACGGGTGCCTGTGGGCCTATGGGCTCCTATTAATTGGCAGCTTAGCAAGATGTAGGTTAGACTTAGGAGACTTTACTAATCAAGACTTGAATGAAAACTATTGTATCGTTCGGACTGAGGCACGAATTAAGGCACAGATAGTTCATTATGCGGAGGAATCTCTGCAGCTACATAGCTACGAGGAGGAAATTACAGGTTAGGTAACCAACACGTAATCTAAGGTCATTGGAATAACCGTCCAATAATTTCTGACCTTATTGGGTCGGCTAACGTTATTTGGCGGAACAGCAAGATCAGAAGCGGAAATCGGCTGAAATCACAAATGCCTGCGGTGCACTTAGTGTAGAGGTTAAGATAAGCCACGCACTATATGAGCCACAAGCCCCGCCACAAGGTAGCCTGTGCGGAAAGAAATTTGAACTAAAACATGCATGTGGATGCTTATTTCGCACTCTACTGTACCAAACTCGTGCCGAGCTAACATGGCGACATTGAATTCCCTAAAGTGCGCCCTCAGGCGGAAAGCCACAGCGTTGACATCGTCCTCAGAGCAGCAGCCGTTATCTGACACACAGTACAGCGCTGGCTTCGACACCTTGGTGCAGGGCTCGGCATGGGAGACGTATCAAGACTTCATTATCCCTCAACTATCTCAGCTGCTAACTGCTCTCCTCAACTCGCGCATCCATATCTCAGTGCTGGAGATAGGACCCGGCCCGAAGAGCATACTTGGACATCTGCCCGACCATTTGAGACGGAGGATCACGAGATACACTGCATTTGAGCCTAACGACTTATTTGCTACAAGATTGGAAGAATGGCTTTCCTCTGTCTCGGAGACGGAGTCCCCGCTGCCCTGCTTGAAAAGCCCGCCTGACATCCATCGAACCCCGTTCGTTTCGGAAAGTAACACAAAGAGCGGCACTGGCACTGGTACGAACTATGGCGACCAAAAATTCGATGTTATTCTATTCTGCCACAGCATGTACGGCATGAACCCCAAACATAGGTTCATCGAAAGAGCGCTAGAAATGCTTGTCGAGCGGTCGGAAGGTGGATTGGTGGTGGTTTTCCATCGCGAAGGGGCTCTGCACTTGGACGGCTTAGTGTGCCATCGAACGGCTTCTTTCCCTGCTGGAGTTATTCGCGTGGTAAATGATGATGAGGCGCTGGATTGTTTTGCTCCTTTCATTGCGGGGTTTGTCATGCAGGATACGGGCGTGGATAAGGCTACCCGAGTTGAGTGGCGCAAGGTGTGCCGCGCCTTGGGCCGCCGCGAGGAAGCCTACCCAAACCATCTCTTGTTCAGCTCGCCCAATACCATGATGGTCTTCACCCAACATGCGACCGCATTACCAGAGCTAACGGCGCAGGTGCCATTGGAGAAGGGAGACAAGACGGTTAAAAACCTGGAAGCTCGCCTCCACCGTCCCGCCTCGATTATTAGGCCGACCGAGGTGCGACACGTCCAACAGTGCATTCGATGGGCTCTGGAGCACAAGGTCGGCCTAACCGTCCTCGGCGGGGGTCACAGCGGCCACTGTCTCCGGTCCAACGTCGTGTCCATTGACATGGGCGCCTTTGACCAAGTACACATTCTCACGGCCGGGGAGGATGGAGGGAAATCTGGTTCCGACTCCGGTTCTTTGGTCGTCGCCGAGGCCGGCTGTAAGACGGGGGATATAATCCGGAAGACCATGGCAGCGGGTGTGACTGTGCCCTTGGGGGCTCGCCCAAGCGTAGGCGCGGGGTTGTGGCTACAGGGTGGCATCGGGCACCTTGCCAGGCTTCGTGGGCTTTCGTGCGACGCAGTTGTCGGTGCTGTCGTGGTCAGCGTCGACTCTGGCCAGGTTTTCTGTATCGGCCGTGTACCAAGCCAATACCAGCCGGCTGGTGCTGTGCGCCCGGAAAATGAAACCGAGCTGTTATGGGCGATGAAAGGCGCCGGGACCAACTTTGGCATCGTAATCAGCGTCACTTTCGAGGCTTCTGCGGCTCTAGTCTATTCGGTTCGAAACTGGGTTATCCCGCTAAGCAACAGCCTCGAGGCACATCTCAGGCTTAAAGACTTTGACAATTTAATCGCCAGGGAGCTCCCCGGAACTGTTCTGCGGACGCGTATCTGTACTGGGACGACAACCAACTGCATCTTGGCGTAACTATGCTTGAATGTTCCACGACTAAGCTTGCACTTGAGACACGCACGCCTACGCCTGCGTCTATAAATGCAGTCTTGGGGCCGGAGGACAATTTCACGGTCACGGACGGCGTCGGTTTGTTCGAGACCGAGATGTACATGTCCGGAATGCACGGCGGGCACAGTGGAGGTAAGACCTCCTCTTTCAAGCGATGTTTGTTCTTAAAACGTATCGGAACGGCAGTGAACATTGCCAACATCTTAGTGGCAGCCGTTGAGACTCGCCCCTCGCCACTCTGCTATCTCCATCTGCTGCAGGGTGGAGGAGCGGTTGGCGATGTGGCGGCCGATGCCACTGCGTTCGGTTGTCGAGACTGGGATTTTGCCTGCGTATTAACTGGCGTCTGGCCCCGCGACCAAGATAGAACCAAAACCGCTGAAGATGTTGTACAATGGGTTTACAACGTTGCCCGGGATTTGTTGCCCTTTAGTAGTGGAGCTTACGGCGCCGACCTCGGGCCGGACCCCAGAGACGCCGCGCTGGCGGCCAAGGCTTTTGGACCAAACGGGCGGCGCCTAGCTCGCCTCAAACACAGCTCGGACCCGCGTAATATTCTGGCCTACGCCTGCCCGCTCCCAAAAGCGCCGATGGAACAGAAACTTATTATTCTTGTCACGGGCGAAAGCTGCGCTGGCAAAGACTATTGCGCCGATATTTGGGTCTCCGTGTTTACAACATGTACCCACAGAAACCTCACAGCACG